TGTGTGGCGCAATCATGGAACACTTAAATCAGAGCAACAAGTTCCCCCTTTCAACTTTGAAAATCGTATTGCTATCGGCAGTTATGCACAAATTTCATTGAGTACGTGTGTCGTGTTGCCCAGATAATTGATCCAGATCCTTGGGTTATGACTCTTTTTATTATCGTATTATCTGGAGGGGGCGAAGCTGGGCACGCTTACCACGCGCCGGTCCTGGGGTTAAATTATGTATCGACTCCCGCCCAGGCCAACCAAGCCTTCTACCCTCCGGGGACGGTAAATTGGTACCAGATTCGTCTGGGAGGATAAAACACTGACTTGTACATCGGCTGGCCCCCGCAAGTCATTGTATAGGCCTTATCGCATTCACTACGATTTAGAATGGAAATAGAATGTGTGAGGCATCCCAAACAGAGATTGATGGACGGCGAAGACTCTCCTTTCATCCATTATTATCTAAAGCACAGAGTGTGCTTCCCAGAGTGACCTCTTTCACTATGCAGGAGGTCACTTGATCTCTGGTATGTGGCTAGAAAATCGTAATTCGCCGCGCCAGTGGGCGTCGCGTGCGACGCCCGCTAATGACGACGATTTTAGGTGGTATTGGTCGAGAATAGACAATGTATGACCAAAAATAGACATAAGTGTCTACCATGCCCTTGTCTACATGAAATCCGATGCTCCAAATGAAAGGGTAGTGCAAATTGAGGAAACGTCGCGCCCACTGCCGCGCGCGACGAAGCGGCAAGTTACGATTCTCTTGCGCGTCCCCTTGATCTCATATAAGCCTGTTTCAGATGCCATAGAGCTGCCGGTTTCTTACGCAATGGTCGCAAAAGAACTAGACGTAGCAGAAAATCAAACGAGAGCATTGTTCGTGTTTTTTGAATGTGCGCGTAAACGATCGTGGAATGGTCACGGCTCAAGGATGTTTTGGTCATGTGGGTCACAAAGTCGAAACAGCTCTTCCTCATCTATCACAGGAACAAGAGACTACTTAAAAGACTTGTTAGAAGGTAAGGAGAAGCCATTCTGTGAGATGAACCCTATTTTACGTGAGACTCTTTACTGAAACTTTTCAGTGCACTCCGTCGACTACATCATGAACCGCCTGAAGGAAGATTTCCCCTTAGAAACCTCTCGACTTCATCATGTTACTCGAGAAGAGTTGAGAACGATCCAACGCAAACACAGACTCACACCAGTTCCTGCTGAGAATGACTGTGGAGATTTGTGGATGGAAGATGAGAAAAAGCACAATCCTTCTGGTCAGGACGTAACAGCAGATGGCAATGAGCCCGATATTGGTGGCGAAAGCGCTACTGACGAGGTACAAATTTATCTTCGTTTACTGGATATCCTTTTCAAACCTTGGTTATCTACAACATTTTTTTAGAAATGCGAAGATGTGAAAGATTTCCAAGATTTAATGTCAGCGATGGAGTGTGAACCTGGAATCGCGGTAGAAAACGATCCTTCAACGTCTCAAGGAGATGACAAAGATGAAATCTTCAACGGAATTTCAGAGCTGCCTTCTGTGTCAGCACGGCCCTCAACACAAGAGGTTTCAGATGCCCCTCCAAAAAGTGACGTTAGCGAGTGCGAGTCGCCATTATCACCTGAGCGACGCTTTGATATGTCCTCGTCATCATCAACTGCTCATTCCCCAGAGACGCCATTACAAACGCAAAAGAAGCAGGAGAACGAGAAGCGCTTGCGCTGCTTTTTATGTTCGAGAATGATGCTTCGGAGGAACTTGTACGCTCATTTGCAGAGATCTCACTCTTTCTCAAAAGAAGATATCAACAGAGTAAAGGTTGATATTCGTTTAGAAGGACATAAAGCTACCAATCGTCGTGAACGTGCTCGGATTTCCTGTCCCCTATGCGGAGAAATAATTTTCGATCAAGTCGGCTTTGTTAGACATTGCGAACACTTATCCACAGGTGATATTTTGAAAGCCTCGATGGGCCGACACACTCCCACTACACCGAAGTTAGACGCACAAACGTTCATTCAACTATGGTGCACTGTGTTCCAAGAAAACCGCTACCTCAGTCCATATTATTCACAACATAAAATAAGACGGTATGAGAATATGTGCAGGTCTTACTCACCTGATGTACGCTGCGAGGTGGCGAAAGTTTCTATTTTCAGTCTCAAGGTTGTGTGCAGTGACAGTAAACTCAATATTCTGGGCTGTATATGAAATAACCAACCCGAGTAGTTTGCTCAGTTATATTTGGACCTGGTCAACTCACTGGAACGATGATCGAGGTGGTATCCGCGAACGAACCATGCACGAGTATCACTCACATTAACTCACCGGAAAACGAAACTTGCCGAGAACGCCAAGTCAGGACAGAAGAAGGAGATTCATTTCATTTGAAGGTGAGTGAAACAATTTTTTTCGTTTGATAACTCGGGTAAGAGCTTTGTCTTTGAGAGTGTATTTGAGGAGCTCGCAGTAGGTCAAATTTCAGCCTAGCTCTTTTTAATATGTTATTGCATTGATTGTCATACGATATTGATGAGGTCTGGTTTCTGTAGTGGAACATAGCACTGTGAGCTCAGATTATTAACTATATCCGTAAGTCCGTTATGCACGAATAAGACAAAAGTCGGAGAGAGCAGTCGCTTGTGCATTCAATGAAAATTGTCATCGAGAAGATGTCTATATGTATATAACCGTTGTGTAGAGAGAGAACATAGAGGCACAGGCAGTTCGAGCGTAATAGTATCGAGTAGCGATGTGTATCGAGAGTTCTATTTTTAACGAACCAGGCACATAAGGTGTAAGTGACTCAGACGTTCTCCTATTGTTTTTAGGTGACGCTGCGTGAGCCGTACTCGCAGTTCTTTGTAACAGCCTCCTGAACCGAGTGATCACCGATTCACGTTTCGAGAGAAGCCTTTTTTTTATGTTTTTCAACAACAATTTTGTTCCTGCTTACTACACGCCTATCTCAAAACCACCAAGCCTCATTTTGGCAGGGTTTTATGATGATAACAGATCTGAGGGAAGAAAACTTTAAAATTAGCCATTCCTATCATTTTAGGGTGAGCTGCCGGCAAATGTCAACTGATTTGCTTGGATACGCTATGATCGGTTTTGTGGGTTACACAGAACCTGGCCTTCGCTCGGACGGCATCAACTCGTATCCACAAGTGAATGAAAATTAGATACCTGTTATTTATGTGCTTTGACGTGTTTGATTTTAGTGGTTAGGTTTATACTCGGCGTGTCGTGGTTGCATCACAAATGGATTATTATCAATAATATGCGGCACAAGCCTGCGCGCGGCGTCTCTATGACCCCCGGTCACACTGGGTCATCCCCCATTATTTTTTTCAACGGTATATTGTTAATGCCCCCCTTGTTATAGTGACGGACACTTATATTCAAATCACTCCCTCCCTTGCTCCATTGAGCAGTGTAATTTATGGCCTACCATCGAGTGATATGCTCTGCGTCGATGTTCCTGGGCCAACAGACGTCAGATGAGAGAGGATGAGTACATATAAGAGCATCATCTACTGGGCCGCAGCAGCGGGACTTCTCTCACTGGAGCGTTCGAACTCGGGATATTGGAGTTCCTAACTGTGCGCATCAAGCTTTCCCCATGTAGAGATACGTCCCTGTTTTGGGCCTTTCGGACTTTGCAATCGGATATATGGATTAAACGGAACTTCATATTCGTCAACCCCGGCACAAGATATCGCTTCGCGACTAGCTGTCAGGGGATCAGCATGTGTAATATCGGCTATGTTCGCTTGAGTTAACAATTATTGTGCTAGAACTGTGTAGGTTGGGAGGGGCCACGCGGCTCGCGGCGAGTGATGACTCATCGGCTCTTCACTCATTGACATACTTGGAGCGTTAATCTAGCAGCAAAATTAGAATAAAACAAACAAGATTCACCGGAAACTTGCTGAGAAAGTCCCAAGAAGCTGAAAACAACAAATGTTTGATCTTTTATAGTCAAGAATCAACAAAAAGGCAACAATCGTTCGTATTTTAGGCAAAATCTTCCAGCCTACAACTGTTTCTTCGCACTTTTCAGCCTTAACTGTTTTAGCTTTTGAATATAGCTAGGACGGTGTTATATCCATGTCCTAAACATGAAATTACTTCTTTTTTGCCGAGGAGGAAGCAGAAGAGTCGATGAGTCATCACTCGCGAGCCGCGTGGCCCCTCCCAACTACGTTAGCACCGGTATTTTTTCATCCCATCTACTGGTCCAGCAGTTGAAGGGAGCAGGAAAAGGATAAGGGAAGAGAAAGAGACAGGAATCGATTACTTGGACCAACCGGCGTTTTTGGGAACGCGCGACCAATGATTAGACCGAACCACCTGATTCACCTGTAATCTCTTGATCGCGTATTCTCACGAGTGGCTCGTTTTCCACATTCGCCATAATCTTCAGATCTATGTTTACACTCTCTTTTGAGTGCATTTTCCCGATTTGTGGATTTTTCTCATTTGCGAATTATGGGCGCAACCTAAGCCCTGTATCTCTTGGACTCTTGATACTACTAGTTTGTCTCCCAAACACGATGTCCGTCTCATTTGTCGTCTGGAAAAATAGTGTAATGTGGAGTACTTTTTGATATTCATGACCCATTATTTTTTTCGGCCATATTTCAGATGTGGTAGGTCCGGTCGATATGTCAGCGGTGGATTGAAGAGACCCAGGCCGTCCACAAAGCAGACAAGGCACTGCACGTGTTTCCTAAACGTGCGCGTAAACGAGTACGGAACTGTTACTGTGATCGGATGTTTTGGACATATTGGCCATAAGATTGACGCCGCTCTCATTCGCTTATCACATCCACAGGAAATGTTCCTCAAGGACCAACTGGAAAGTAAGGAACTAAGCTTAATTATTCTGGTAGAAATATAGTCCATAGTTTTAGAGTATCCTGTGGGCTACGTTCTCATGCGACTGAAAAGAGATTACTCACCAAAAACATCACGTCTTTACCATGTTACTGGAAAAGAATTAAGGAATATAATGAAGAGATACCACCTAGAACCTGTTTCACAAGACAGCCTAAAGGATTTGGCTCCCGAGGTTAATAGCTCTTTCAGTGAAGGTACCACGGAAGGACTGCATAACCGCACCAGGATTGATAATGAGGTATACTTGTTTGTTCTCAATCACGTGAAGTTGAACTGGATCGCATTACTACTTGGTTGTTCAACATTTATGAAAGCTTTTTTGAATTCAACCAACGAACTTTCCAGCATCAACACGGTTCGAGAATGAGTGGAGAGTCGTTTCAAGACCTTTCGACGGGAATCATGTTCAATGGTCATGGGAAAGCCGATAGGCAACTCGGCGAAAGCAGCACAAGACCGGTTGATTACTCAGCGATGCCACCTGAGCCTCAGCTTTATTCAACGCTATGCCCTCGTGAGAGCATTAAAGAAGTAGGTGTTTTATGTAAACTGTAATCCAAATAGCTTTTACTGGCGCTAATCGGCTAAGGGGTGCATCATGGTAATTAGCGGCAACGTGCTGGGCCACTTTGTGATGTCCACTAAAATCTTGCAATGCTATCGAATGGTATTAGTTAAATCAATAGGCGCGAGTTTACAGGTATTTCATAAGATGACTCGGCGCGATGACTCGAATTACTAGAATATCCAACCCTCCTTAGTCGACCCAGGCTTTACATTTTGAGTTTCTCATCTAAAATTGCAAAGGAAAAGGAAAGAGGGGTAGCAAATGATCCGAGTTGTTTCTTCTTGAAACCTCAACATGATGTAAGTTATATTTTGATTCTGTTGAACGAGGTAGTTTGGTGGATCGTTTGTTGGCCACAAGTTTTGATTTTTTGTCTTCTTGAGAGAAGATTCCACCAGTTGCGCAAGCTATTGAGTCGCTTCTTGTTAAACCCCTATTGATATCCTTGATAAGGCGATGTTATCCGATCTCATGTTAGGCTCCGTTCGTACTTTGCAGCAGCGTCCACCAGCGTCCAGTAGGGGAGAGCGGAGACGAACAAGAGAATCGTGATCGCCTCGCCTGCGCGCGAGGCTCACCATTCTGGCGAGGAGCGCGGAACACTTTCAGTATGGGTGTCACGCGGCAATAGGCCCGCAAAATTCGGACTGTGCGTCACTTTTTGCAGCAGAGAAGCTCAATTTCATTTTGTTTTATTTTTCATATTTCCGCACACATTTCACGTGCTTTTCGGCTGATGATGTGGAGCATCGGAACATTCAGCGTCCTTACTTGTAATACCCTGTCCCTGTCCCGTCCTTTAATATTCGAATTTGAATAGCTAGACTGGGGACTCGTCCTGGTCGCTGGTTGGGCTGGAAGACGCTGGTGATCGCTGATGGACGCTGCTGCAAAGTGTGAACGCAGCCTCATCTCGCCCTAGTAACGGTACTAAGAAGAGGCGCAGTTTAATATTTCTCGCAATCGGTTGTCTCTGGGCAAATGATCCCACCTAGCAAACTCGTTTGGCAGAACTGAAATATAACTAGTGGGTCCGCAATATTTTTAACGTTTTCAACGAACGTTTCTAACGTTTTTTTTTTAACGTTTTCCTCGAAAGTTGGGCTTAACGGCTGCTACTGCAGAACGTGCAACGCAAGGTGCATGCTACGAATGCTCATTCGATAGCCAAGACGCTCCCTTTGTCGCGGCGCCTCCTAGATGCAAAACCAAGGATCCCTATGATAAGAGTAGGAACGAAGCTCAGTAAAGTTAAAATTCGTTTGGTAAGTAACTTTCCATGTTTGTATTTAGTTTCGAATGTTTTGATTTGAATGAAAAATTAAGTAAATTGAATTTCAGCCGCTTCCTATACCAATAAATTTTCAATACAGAAGCAGTCACAACTAAATCTTCCGACTTGAAATAATATTGATGGAGTTCTGCAAATGTTTCCCACATAAGACGATGAGAACATGACATTCTGTGACTAATACTGGTGAGGGTGCTGGAACCACAGTTATTTTGAAAGTTGATTTGCCTAGGAATATTTGACAGCTAGAGTTACTGGTACAGTACCTACGGGTCGCTAACGTATCGCTTGTTATGTTTACTAACGTTTCATTGTTTATCGCATTCATTTCTGCTTTCGAAGTGATATTCTATTGTAATAAGGTGCAATATGTTGTCATCCTGTGCTAGTTTTTTTACGCGAAGAGGTCTCTCTAAGCAGCTGAACTCAATGCGAATGCTTTTGAATGAACTGCTAAAATATGGTTCAATTTTGAATATCAAATCTGCTCACGTTAAAAATCTCGGTGGCAGAACGGACCACTGGGGTCGGCACCTACAGGGCGCCATCAAGCATTCTCGCGCCGATTTTATGTGGTATTCGTCCCTGGGGGAGGTAAAACTTTTCCCGGATGCTAGCTACGGGCGAAACCTCCTCTCCTAGCCCATCTCCCAACGTGAAGTTTCAACAACGTTCCATCCTAGATTTTGAGGGGTAGGGTCGCGAAGGGTACTCGAGGTTGCATCCAGAAAATCAAGTCAGAAAGTTATAGTAACAGAATCACGTTCTGCGCACGGGACTGACTTCTCCTTTCCGGATCCTCATTCAAGCGTTTTAAGCGATGAGTGAGAGGCTCGGTCAATACTTGTATTTTCCCTTACGCCCAAAACAACGACGAGAAGTATGACCGGTCTTGAGAAGGAATAGGGGTTTTGTGAGACCTTCTTGAGTCGCCTACGATAGCCGGCAATTGTTCAGTGGAGCCACTTAGCATATTCGTATCAAGGGCATTGAGGAAACGGCGAGGCAGACGTGAGCCGGCTTTTTGACGTCGTTCAAAGCGTATTGTGATAGAGTTCAACTGTAAGGATGTTTTGAAGTGTCATCAAATAAGTATTCATTTTGTATCCATTTTGAATGAAAAATTTGCCTTTCTGTTGGTCGAAAATGAAGATCACCGGTTATCAACGGCCATTGTCTGAATATCTAAAATGAGGATTTGCAAAAAAAAGCTTTTCCATTGATTGATGCATAAAGCCATACTGTTCAATTTCAGTATGATGATGGGAAGGGAACGGATTGGTGCGGTAGGCCGGGCGGCCGTAGTTGGGGCAGCTGGCGTAAGGTTTGTTTTTGTTCCTTTCTAAAGTAACGACGTGCTGTCTGGATTTGCCTTGTAGTTATAAGTATAGGTCAACAACCTGACGGTGAAAATTACTAAAGAGTTTCTTATGTCCGCAAAGCGGACTTGAAGGCAAACGCCGTGATTGTATATTGTGGATAGGCGTTTAGTTGCAAACGTACAGTTGCTTAATAGTGCTCCAGGGAGAAAAAAGCAGTAAACGCATCATGGAGAACACTTAAGGTAAAGACGGCTAGCATCTCGTGACGAGTCGTGCTGAGCTGTTCGTCGTATGCCAGAAAAACGATATCCTGCCACCGGCTCACTACTCATTTCTCGCATTTTCCAGTCTTAATAATAGTGGAAAGCGCAAAAAGCCGCCTGTGTAAAACATCTCGAGCTCTGACACAAAGGCCTTTGAGGTTTTATGTTTTATGGGGCGGGGCAATCTAGGAAGGAGTCGGAACTGCCACTTACGAGCGCCGTGGCGCCTTTGTTACTTACTGCGAATCGCGAAAAGGGGGTAATCTTGACACGCGAGAAAGCTAGTACAGGGGGATGCGCTGCGTGTGCTAAGACGGGTACTGTTTTGACAGGCTTATACCCATTCGTGTCCTCTTTCAGGGATCGTGCATATATTAGAGTTGCTTATTAGATCCGTCGAAAGATTTAGTTATAATAGTGCTTGTTACACATCAATTGGTAGACATGCCTTTCCAGAGAGTGCCTTTCATTGAGAAAGGGTTGCACGACAAGCGTGACCGATTGCGTTCATACTTTGTGACGAGAGAACAAGAAAACCAGCGATTTGACGTTCCAGGAGAATGCCTGCCATCAGAGTGGTGGGTATTATTGACTACGGTCGCTAGCGAATCGGAGAAAAGGAGTTGATTACTTATCATATATCACTTTTCTTGTGCAGTCTCTTGATTGGCGCGTTCTCCAATTCACCTTTCCAGTCATTTTGTGAAATTCCAGTTGGAGGGATATTCGGCATTAAGGACCTCTTTGTCTTGTTTTTTTTTCTGTTTTTTTTTACCAGCTCCAGACACATCATATGCCTCCCCACTTGCTTGATATCTCGACATCATCGAATGTGGAGCGGATATTACAACAACTGTTTTGATTTTGAGCAGCGACGACTTCATACGTGCCTTTATCAGGCCGCTATCAGGTTGTGTTTCACCTTCTGTCGGGACCGTCACGGATGCATCTTATCACGCCCGTCTAATCTATATTACTTGCTGGAAACAACGTGTCGCTAATGCTGTGACCAGCCTGTGAATGACCTCTTAACGCCCCTTATCGAATCTGATCAGCTGATAGCAGCTAATGTCATCCACCAATAATATTCCATTTCCCATACCTTATATCATATTTTGAAATCAATGCCTAGCTGATGTTTGTTGCCCGTCCGGGTTATGAATACGGTGACCTTCTCCTTCTGACACCCCTTGTCGAAATTATCGTTGTATGACTTCCTGTCTCCCACCAATAATGGTCCCGTCACATGCCCTATATCATTTTTTGGAAGCAAACTCTAACGGCCACTGGGACGAGCGCTATGGATTTTGTGACAAACAGACTCACGCACACCCACACTTACGACGTTTCGACTTAGCGGATTATATGTATGTAACCAGTTTGGCTGCCACGCACAACTGTGCGCATCGCGCATCTTATGGGAAACCCTACGAAACTGATAATTTACCGTACATTTGTACTGATCCCTATCGAGATGCCTTGCGTTCCGTTATTGGGAACTAGCCTCTCCTTTCTTGCTCCTATAAATGATCAATTGCCCGTGTTTATGCTCATAGTCTTGTAAAACATCTACCATTTGTTGGAAGTGCGGACAGTTAGCGGTCGAAAACTTTTTGATCATAGCAAAATGAAAGTGAAATGTTATAATTTACTGCTTTCATATCCATGATAAAACAGTTTCGCACATCCATCCGCACTTGGTTATCTAGGTTGTTATCAAACCTCACTGGGCAATTAACTCCCAGTTTTTTGGTTGCTGATTTTTCCCCTTTCCAGCGCATTATGTGTCTCCCATCCTCCTCCCCCCCCCCCCCCCCGCCTCCCACGCGCTGGACATGCGTTAGAGGAATAAGTTTACGTATACAGGGAGGGGGGGCCAAAAAAAGTCATTTTGCCTCCATGACTTTCAAGGCGCTATAAGTTACACTTTATTAAATTTTTATCGGACATTTTTACTACCATATTAAAGAGCACATTAAATACTATAATGATACTCCGCCACAGCCTTCTGGAGGAGCGCCATCGAGAGATTCGGCCGCGCGAAAGTGGGTGGGTACCGGAGTTGAGCGAGGTAGTCGATTTCTCCGCCACCGTAGACCACCCTATCGAACTCCGCTCGAACCAGGTAATTGAGGGGATTCAGGTCAGGGGGCATACTTCAATATTGCATCTTCTTCAGGTACGAAGCGCCCTTTCATTCGAAGTAGGAGAGAGTTTTTCCAAAACCCTTCGATTCCATGTGGTGGCACCAAAACCTGTAGCAGTACACGGTCTCCAAGAAGGTACGAGCGACAACATGTGGGGAAGATATTCTTCTCGAGTTGCTTGATGTAACCGCCAGCGCTCACGATAAGACAACACTCTTCATGCGGGTCTACGAAAGCGAAGAATATGCGCCGTCTTTCCCTTTCCAGCGCTACCCCGCGTCGCAGTACCATCAACTCGCGCCTCGGCGAATACGGTGAAGATGATGTCCTAGACCGTAGCGACGTTGCCGTAGCTGGTCGATGTGGGAGGTCTTGCAGATCAAGAGTACTGACCTCCAGGTAGCTATCTGTGGATGACTTCATTCAAGAAGTTTTCCGCGTGCTGTGTTTGAGAGGCGACGTGAATTCCGAGAATGGTGTTCTACCAGTCAGGGGTCTGCGACTGGAGATGACTCGATGATTTTTGGTGGCGTACATGAAGGGGATTAGCCGGCAGGTGGCTCCAGCTTATAGCAGGAGTCGTGGTATCTTTCCACGGCTCTGGTACTCATATCCACTTCCCCTGTCTGGGCTGCGAAAACTTCGTTGATATGTGGCTCGGCCGAAATGACTTTTTTTTGGCCCCCCCCCTGTATACGACAGCCTGGCAATACCAAGTTACTTGCGCGCGCGTATGGGACCGTTGCCTATGATTTAGTGACTTCTCCCTTTCTAGGCGCTATGCCATCAGCCTTCTTATCAGCTCGCTTGTCTGGTCAGAACCTAGCAATAAAGTTCCCATCACCACCCCATTCACTTACATTTAAACTCCTTCTATGGTTAAATCAAAGTTTCGGATATCCGCGCCAAACACACACACACACACACACACATACACACAACACCAGCAGACAAACTTAGAGATTGTCTAGAAGGATTAAAATCTCTCCGCCGTTTGCAAAGTAAGTGAGCGCTGTTTTTCCATAGGAAGATTCTCTACATGCACTTTTGAGGTAAAGCCTGGGTGTCAGACTGCCTGTTTTGCCTTGCACGGCACCGCGAATATTTTGCTTTCTCGTTGCCTATACGCTACTTCTGCTATGCAACTTTGAAGCCGTCAACGTGGATAGCAGATACAGTGTTTGTGGGGGATTTCTGTGGAGGAGACGGGCAAGAGAAAAAGATCGTTCAAATTCCCCCACCGCTCCTTCGCGCGCGGCAAAGGGCGCGACGTCTCCTCAATTTGCACCACCCTTTCGTTTGGAGCATCGGAACTTCATGTAGACAAGGTGCCTGCTAGACACTTATGTCTATTTTTGGTCGTAAATTGTCTGTTCTCAA